GAGAGAGAGAGAGAGAGGGGGAAGGCAAAGAAACGTCAGATGGAAGAGACAGAAAAAAGGTGACGAAAGAGAAAAGGCAGAAGGGCGGAAGGACACACACACACACATACACACACACACACACACACACACACACAGAGAGAGAGAGAGAGAGAGAGAGAGAGAGAGAGAGAGAGAGGAGAGAAAGAGAGAGAGAGAGAGAGAACGTTACCGCTTGCATTAACCCCCCCCCCTCCCTTTTTCCTTTTTTACTAATTTTAATGTATACAAATTTTATTACATATATTACTTTTTTTCTGGGTACCTTATCAGTGGATGCCAAGTGCTCCGAGCTTGCAGTTAAAGGAGACTGTGGTTTCTACTCGTGCTTCGAGAGGCGTTTGACCTGTGGCAGGAACTGGTACAACGTCAAGTATGGGGAGCCTTACTGCAGGGACTTCAGGGCTTTTCAGAAGACTTTCTCGGAGAAGGTGAGGCCCCGGAGGAGGTGGAAGAGGGAGAGGGGGAGTGAGTGAGTGAGAGAGAGAGAGGGCGAGACAGAGAGAAAGAGAGAGAGAGAGAGAGAGAGAGAGAGAGAGAGAGAGAGAGAGAAGGGGAGAGAGAAAAGAGAGAGAGAGAGTGAAAAGGGGAGTGAGAGAAAGAGGGAGAGAGAGGGAGAGACAGAGAGAGAGAGAGAAGGGGAGTGAGAGAATAAGGGAAAGAGAGGGAGAAGGAGAGTGGGGATAGGGTAGAGGGGGGGGGGGTTACGACAACAGAAAATAAAGAGATGATTTTAGTTAGAGTTTTACGGCACTTTCAACACAATTTGGTTATATAAATGCCGAAGATTAGAGATGTTACAAACACAAAATAAGAAAAAGGGATAATGGCGATAGATGTTTGATAGTAAAGAAGGAGAAAACCACACCAGAGCACCTGCCAACCACCCACGACAGACAGACAAACAGAAAGACAGACAGAGGGTGATAAGTAAAGGACGAATGAAGAGGAGAGAGAACAAGAACAAGAAAGGAAGCTGGAGATGAGAAAAGAGACATAACAGGCAAATAGAGACAGACGGAAATCCGGTACATAAAGAAATAACCGGATTTCGCGTACTATAGTGCGGTCAAAATATATGTCGTGTGGTGTAACTTATCCTCAAATATCTCTTTAACGGGTGAAACAATGTCATTCATACTTTGCATAGCAGTTTGTATTAATTTGTCTTAACTAAATTATATTTTGCCAGAACAATTGAGGCTAGATTTAAAAAACTTTTCTTTATGAATTTATATAGCATACTAAAAATCTGTGTCACACGTAAAATGGTATTGTTGACAGCACTTCCCGCTTCTTACACACACATTTTGATAACGTATATGACCTACGCCACAGCTCATCAAAGTTCAATTTTTACTTGCAACAATTGTTACAAGAAATTATTGTTATAGTGAACACATGTTTGCACTAATGGCTCTCAAAACATGCGTTCAATAAGCATATTGTTCCGATTAGACAAACCTGACGAACTTGCTATTAAAAGCAATATTGCCCCAGCTGTAAACATTAAAAAACCTGTAGAAACCACCCGCTTGGATTTGTTATTAGTATTTTTTAAAGGAATGTTCTAGAATACAGCTTGCAGGTGTTTACAAAAATGTTGACCTGTTAAGACAAATTGATACAAGTCACTGTGCAAAAATTGAATAGTAGAGATATATTTGAAAATTAGTCGCGCCACGAATGTTTGACCGCACTATAAATGTTAATGTCCTTTAAAAGAGGTGCAAGCAACAAAGCAAGATACACATATTCCCCAGCTAGCCCCC